ACTGCTAGTGAGGAGGTGACAACCCTCTCAGCCCCACAAGTAGGTGTAGTATTGATGTGACGTATTTGACTGACACTCAGATGAACTACCAGTAGCAATTGTAGCTCCACCACAACATCAAGCAATAGAGATCATTGTTTTAAGTTCATTTTTTACGTGTAAGATGCTTGCTCCCCTCTCTCAATGAGATTTTGCCCACCCTCTTTAAAGTCTATTTAGGTATGCTGGCATTCAATACAAATTATTTGCCTCTTTCCTTCTTGTGATACAAGACAGAAGTTCTCTTTCATTGTGTAAGTCTTTATGTTAAATTTTTGTCTTTAAAAGTTTCTTACCCTTTCATAGAAGTAATTATCATTTGATTAGAAATCAGGCATGTATTTTAATTGTTTTTTTAATGGAAGAGATTTTTGAAAATGCATTTCCTGCAGTTTAACACCTTTACTCCTCTCTGTAATCAGTTATGTGTTTTGGCTTCATAGAAGGGTCTTTGTTTACAAAGAAACTTTCCAAGTAATGAAAGTACTTGCATTTGCCATAAGACACTCAGGAATAAGAAGGAAATGTTCCTCAATGTCAGCCTTGAAGAAAACCATGTTCCCTTTCTTTTTATATTACAAAATGGAAAAAAGAGAAAGAAAACTCTTAACCTGATGCCTTTAAATTCTGGGGTAATTTTTTTCTTCCTTTTTAATTTATTTGTTTTTTTTCTAGGAATAATAGAGAGAAGAAAGCTGATTGCTCTACATCAGGAAACATATGAGATGTGTAGACGTTTGCAAACCAATACAGAAAGTTCATTAAAGACTTCCTAGAAAGTGTGCAGCTTAATATTTTCTTTATATATTTTAGCATAAGTAACACAAATATTGGAGGTGCACAGCTAGAAACAGTCAGTTGAGAAGACATAAAAAATGTCAGTCACAGTCCGACAGACATCCTCCAAGTGAAAACAGAACTGCCAAGTATGCAAGAGATATCATGATTTTTCTTCTCATATACTGAGAATGTTAGCTTTTCTGTTGCAGAAGGGTCCTGGAACTCAAAAAATGCCTTCACCCATGTTCAGAGTTCCTTAGTCGGGAGGGATTTTATGCAATTACTAGAACTGAAAGCTAATATATCCATCTCTGTAAATATACACCCATGACTCACTTCTGGAGCTGCTTATAGAGTTGATTTATGGAAATCCTTAAACAAGAGTCTGTCAGCACTTCATGGCATTGAAGGTTTTTCCATGTTTTGTGCACTGTAGGCTGAAAAAAAATCTCCTCTGTTCCCTAAAATCATTAACTTCCTTCACCTACATCGGCATTTACAAGGAAAGAGCAGAGAAATCTTTCACTTAAAGTTACCAGCCACAAACACTAGTTTCTCAAAGGGACTTGAAGAGTTTCAGCATTCATAAGCAAAAGCAAATAGCTCAATTAATTGTCTTACTACCATCCTCAAATAAAAAAACCTTCCCCCCTCCATTCAGAGTCTACTCAAAGAAGACATACAAATGAATATACTTTCCAAGGCTGAGGAGATACTTGTTATGTAAAAAAAATACATCTTAAAATCTTTCTAATTTTTTCAAAGTATTTATGTACACAATAAGCTACTGCTTATTTGCCACTAAATCAGCCTAAATAGCAACCCACTAGAGTAACAAAAGGGAGTAGTTTGTTAAGTTACCCCTGTTCAGAAAAAAAAAAAAAAAGGCTGTAGAGCATATGCTTAATTTTAAGCACAGGTGGAATTAAGCATGTTCTTCATTTCTTTTCTGAACCAGAACTAAAAACTGAAAACCATTACCATGTAATACTTCGCCATGTTACAGTAAAATCAACTAACTAACTAACTAACTAACTATGTTGCCATCATATTCTTTCATATGATTTCAATATTCTGCTTGAGCAGGGGGTCTGGACAAGATGATCTCCAAAGGTCCCATCTAACCACAGACAATCTGTGATGCTGTAAATACTGTAGAGATGAAAGCATGTTTCAGTTTTGTACTTACTCAAAACATAGGCAATATAAAGCATTGTCACTGTTTATGTAAATAGTCACAAAATTACGAAAGGCAAATGTTTCATTGGGATAATTCATTTTTCTTTATTAAGCTTTGATAAAAAACAGTCCATTTGAAACATTTCCAGCAAGCATTTCAATTCCAAATGCTCAACACAAAAGACTTCATATCAGAGTTCAAACATAGAAAGTTACATCTTATTATAATTTAATATTTAACAAAGGTAATAATTTCTGATTTTTCATAGTTAATTTTACAAAAATAATGTTACATTTATAAAATAAATCAGCTTCCCCCAATAAATTACAGTGGTGTTCTTCTTATTAAAAAAAACAATATATCATACAAAATAGATAACGACTTTTTTTGTCAGATAAAATACTAAAGGATATTTTTCATCCAGTACATTTTGGCAGTGTATGAAAACATTTTATTGTATACTTGATATCCAAAGTACAGTATGAAAACTAAACCCATTAAACTGTTATGGACATTGCTTACAAAAGGCACAGGTGGTCAACTCAGGGACTACTTTTTATTTCCAGTTAAATGTTTTTTTTTTGTCAGACTAATACTGTCACATTTATGCATCTGACTTGATTAATCTGACCCAGTAAAGCCATGCAGATCCAACTTGAGCCAAACACACTTTCTATGACAAATACATAAAAGTGACGCCCATCAGTCAACTTCTGGGCTACTGAGTATCTCACACACATGCTTAACCTTTGTATTTCCACATAAAGTGCTGGTGGACAATTTGTAGAAACAGAACAGTCTGGATACCTGTACAGTTAATGGCAAAAATTTTGGTAATTTATTCTGGCATAAAAACTCATGTAAAGGGGACTTGTAAAAACAGTAATGCATTGAGAAAAAATAAACAGTAACCAGCAAAAAGAAAATCACTCTGAAAGGCAAAAGGTAAACATTAAGAGCTACTGTATGCAGACTTTACAAAGGCAACTATTTTAAAATAAAAAAGAAACACAGCATCTACTTCGTAGTAAGTGTATTCTCATTAAAGTCTTTTGAATGTTCAGGTCAGCTCAGTATTTGCTGTGTTGCATTTCCTGTCTGCAAAAGCATATCCGAAAAAACATAATCAGTTTGTTTGAGCAACTTTTAAAAACCATACATTTAACTACACCATCTTTGGATGCTGTAATTAATTCAGGTGTCTGGTTCAGGATGATCAACATCTCAACTTGCAGAATTTCTGAATTCACTGTTTTCTCTCTGCAATAGTTCAACAAATTGTAGTATTTTATTATCTCTTTGTTTCTTTCTTAAATAACTTCTGGGAAGAAAGTCTCCTTTAAAGTACTAAAGGAAAATAATTGCTGTCTGGAATAAATAAAATGTGCAAAGTAGTGATTTTCTTATGATGTTGTTACTGTATGAACAGATCACTTTATATATCATAATAGATAATTTTCACATATTGTAAATGAGTGAATATATGCCCAAGTGAGCACGTGCCACAAGGTTCCCTTTGTGCAAATCCATGGAGGGTCCAAATCCAGATGGGTTATTACAGACTCCAGGTGCAAAACCTGATCAATATTGGATGCCTTCTGACTGGAAGGCAAGGAAGAAGAGAAGAAGGGGGCTTGTCAGAGTAAATCAATTCATCCCAAGCTTCTGAAACTCTTAAAATCCAGAGAATGAGTATTGGGTATGCTGGCTCTCTTCTGTCTTGAAATACCATGGCTTAAACCAGGAACACCTGGAGCTGAACTCAGGCATTTCTGCTGTGTGAGTTAGTAAGACATACCTCTCCAGACACAGAACTACTACATAACTACAGTTACACTGTAGGTGAAGTTTAGAGTGATTGCTGAAACAGGCATCACCAGCCAGTTAGGCAAATAAACACAATGCCTACATTTACACTAGCAAATCAAACAGTACAAAGTCTATACCTCAGCCCTGAGGTCAAGTGGCATGGTCTGGCCATACTCCTAGTTACGCTCTGTGCCCCTAAAAGAAAGGTGGCCATATCCAAAGCACCCAATGAAAAGTGCCCTAGACTGGCCAAATTGCCAAAATGTCCCCATCAATTGTTTGGGAGAGTACTGGTTAGCTCTTACCAAAAAGCATACCAGTTGCTGTTCTGATTCAGTACTATAAATACCTGCACCCACACCTCAGCACTGTCCAACTGACTGATACAGACATTTCTGTGTAGGCAGATTTTAAGAAGTCCTCAAACATATGTGTACATGCAAGGCCCTCTGATTCATACAAACAGGTAAGCAGGGAAGATTCAACTCCTTTGTTGAACTTTTACTTGAGAAAGATTGTTGTTTCAAATCAAGTTTGTTGGGGTTTTTTTTCAATTAACTGGGTATTTCTGTCCATTATTTTTTCCTTTTTATTTAATGCATATGCTTTGTTTGGTAGCCTACCATTTAACTATTTAAGGAATCTTAGCTTTTGTATGATTAACCCATTTTTTCATGTCTACAATTCACAGCTAAACAAGCACTAACCAGTTCCATCACAATGAAAAAATTATATACACATCTAAAACAATAATATTAAAACAACAACAACTAAAACAGAAAATAAAAAATTAACCTGTGCAGTTAAAAGATCTAAAAATAATACCAGCCCCTATACATGTTTGTCAGACTGCAGTGTCCACAGTTATAGTTGTACATGGCAGTCAGAACAATGAGTATTGCTTTCCAAATCATGAGGTGCTTTAAAAAACACCCACAGTAGTGTCTGCTGAGGAAGTAATTTCTTTTATCATCCTGAGATTTTACATGTGCAAGTGTCCTACCAATTTATCTAGTGCATTAAAAGGAAGAAAGGAAGGAGGCAGGCAGGCAGGCAGGAAGGAAGGAAGGAAGGAAGGAAGGAAGGAAGGAAGGAAGGAAGGAAGGAAGGAAGGAAGGAAGGAAGGAAGGAAGGAAGGAAGGAAGGAAGGAAGGAAGGAAGGAAGGAAGGAAGGAAGGAAGGCAGAGAAACATCACAATGGTTTTGGTTTCAAAATAGATTGCTGTGCAATGACTGAAGCCTGATTTGTAGACATTTTGTATTCTTGTCCAGAGCCTTGAGGAGGTGAAGGTAATGGAGTTTCTGGAGTTGCTGAAAAAGAACATAGAAAGAATTATGTATTATTTCTTCTGACCTATTCTGCACACACATAGACCTAGTACTGCCCCAAAAGAAAGTTCTGGTACATTTGGCATGTTAGGTAAATAGGGTAATTTAGCTATCAGAATTTTCAGTTTATTAAAAATTGTTCATGTGAAACCAATGATATATCAGAATGGTGATGAATTTTTAAAGATAAATTAAATTTCTGTCAAAGTTTCTCACTTAACACTGTTTACATATATGTATGCATATATATACATTTTTAATGCAGAATTATTTTAATTTAAGAATAATGATGAAATAACTCTGAGTGCTGACAGGCCATCATTCTAATTAATATTTTTAACTGTAGTAGTGAAATGTTATGGCAGAAGGCTAACTTGCAACTACTTACAAATCTGTTCTGTATGTACAGGAGCAGACATTGAACTTATGAGGATAGTTTGGCCAGTTAATGGATCTTGGGCTAAGTGAGGATGTACTGGATGATGCATATGACTGGCATCATTAGAAGTACCTGCAAAAATAACATGAACACACATCAATGCAAAAGAGCATGTTGTTGCCAGCTATTTATACTGCAATAATTACATTTCTATAGAGCAAATATTTTTATTGGTAATTTGAATAATTGCTTCTGGGTATTTATTAAACAATTTAAGCAGACTTCAACCATATTAAGTACTGTGTTTATTTTTACTGTTTTGACTGCATTAACAGTGGATTTCATGAAATATTTGTAAGGAATCTTCCATCTGCCTAGGAAATTGTATGTCTAGATACCCAACAATGACTGAGAAGTACACAGCACAATCTAAGGTTGCAGAGATGAGCAGCCAAGACAAGAAGGCTTTATCTAGCAATCATATGACTCAAAGCTTGGCCACTAAGGTGTGGCTGAAGGGTTTGCTTACATCATGATTCTCTCAACATCCCAGTATACTAAATTCAACATAACAACATGGTAAATTTAAGAAGCTGTTAGCTTACCTCCCAATAACATTTCCTGAAGCAAACTGTCAATTTTAACAATTCCAAACAGTTTAACCAATTGTATTTGCTCAATCATTTGCCAAGTGATGCTCTGGAGTGTAGGCAGTAGAAGCAGAAGTTCTCCAAATCTTCCTCGGGAGTCGTACTGACGGTCGTTAATATAATCTTCTAAACTGATCTGAACTTGGAACCGCATGTTCTTAATCTTCATTGGATTACTCAGTCCCTTTGCATCTTAAAAAATGACAAAAACTTATGGTCAAGGCAGATTATGATTTGGGAGGAGCATCTTGCTTTTTTCCATTTTCTTTTTTTTCCATTCAGATCAATAAGATGAGCAGATGCTACATCAACAAAAATTACTTTCAGTATAATCGCATGTACAATAATTCTGAGAGGGTTTTTTTGAAAAGGTACCTGGATCAAAAAACACAATTGCCTTCAAGCAAGCGTACTCATTGTCATCTATTTGAATTTCCTGGAAGGGTCGAACTAGTTCATCTAGAATCCGATTTGCCACTCGGCTGATCTCTACCTCAGTGCTGTTGCGATGGATTATGTAATTGTTGCCTTGGAGAGAAAGAAAGCCAAGATATGGATTGATATACAGACTTTGATGTAATGTGCTTGATGTAATTCATTTTCAAAAACACCTTCTTTTTTCTTCTTAATCAAATTATTTAATATTTTTAAACTAATAACTGTATCATACAGAACTGTTCTTTGCAAGTACAGCAAAGACTATTCCATACTCGAAAACTGAAGCATGGAGCAAGCAGGTCTTTTTCTTTACATAAATCTTAACATTTCCTTTTCCCCCATGAAATTCATATATCCCAAGCCAATTGATTTGTATTTGTCAATGGACAAAAAAGCCTTCTGCAAATGAGGCACCAGAAATGTTTCTAACAGATGCTTCTGTTATTTCTAATAAAGTTTAGAAGCCTCTTAAAATTTTCAGTAATGAATTAATTTTTCCTGCTTCTTTAATTTTAAATTTTGGTTTTGGGGGAGACTTCATCATGGCATTGTAATTCACCTTCTGTCTAGAAATCTTCTAACAGAAGTCATGAGAACAGTGGAAGAGTCATTGATCTTCCAGAACCCACCAAGCAGTTTTTGAAATAAAATATTATTATTATATCCCAACACATCCATGCCAAAATGACTCATACAGGAATCTCCCTTCAAGAATCAGAAATAACCCTTGGAGCCTCAAATTGTTTCTTCTTTCTCTATACATGGTGATGTTGAGTATTGTTTTCTGCTTTCTCATTATTTGTCCCTACTACCCATTAATCCAATAAAACATTCAAATGTTTTCTTTTTATATCTGTTAATTTTAACAGTAAAACTATGTCTAGAGGAAGATCTGTGTTAAGAAGGTAATTTGCCCAGTATTTAATTTGAAAGGATTGCTGGTTAAAGTAGTAACTCCAGAACAAGCCCCTCCTGTCCCTTTAGTTCTCTGATAGGTGTAAAAATAAATTCAAGCTCACTAAGAGCTATGAAAAGGTAGGTGCAAAGAGGAAGGAGAAAGAATATCAGAAAACCCTCTTGTACCACACCATCAATGAAGAAACTAGTGGGAGTCCATATTCCATATACCCTTGCCTCCCATCAAACATACTGCCCAAGAAAGCCTGCACATTTTCTTACAAAACAGCCCAAGTGATGTACCTGTTTAATGAGACCATTTTTGGCAGAGTGCACTTCATACTGGCAGAGTATTGTGTCTGACAGTGCCAACAAATGCCTCATCACATCACTACATGCACAGGGACACATCTCATTATAGTACTGTGCCTCTCTGCTGTGTGAATGAAGGGAAGACACGCTTCCACCACATGACAATGTCCCCTTCCCTAGCAGCCATGCTTTCTTTACATAACCCAGTGAAGGAGCCATTTTAAGTGACCAAGAATACTCTTATGCAGATATGTAAAAATGACCCATCACTGTGTCATGGATATCCCATCTGCCACATGGCAGGGGACAAGAGACATGCGGTTCACATGATGGCCACATGGCAACTGTCAAGGAAGCAGTGAGAATGCTCTTGGGGAAAAAAAAAAAAATAAAAATAATGTAGGGAAGCAGGCTGTCCAATTTTCTAGACTGTACAATCTTCTATGACTATATCGAAGTGCTCTTTAGAAACCTCCATATACATGCTTTCATCAAGACTGAAATAAGTACATGGGCAAAGGATTTTTATTGATTGCTGTTTTGTTCTGGGTTTTTTTATGGGACAAAAGTGCAGAAAGTATGCAGATGTAAAGAGTTGATTTGCCAGGAACTTCCTTGTGTTTTCTTGTATCCAATAAACCTTTAGTCATATTAAATCACAGGAAACCGTCCACCTGCTTTCTCCGGACACATGACTTTATGTCATTAATAGCTACTTAGCATTCACAGAACGCATTGTTTTGATTGTGCCAGAACAGTTGTCCCACTTAAGTGATTACATGGTTGCTAATGTACTATAACATCATCATTATTAATTAAAACAAAACCAATATTTACCTAAAAGCAAAATGTCCTTATACACCATGGACCGTTTTGCTGCTCCAAGCAACAGGTGTTCCCCAGCATGTGCTCTTAGCAGGGCAACCTCAAGAAAAAAAAACCAACACCAGACTCATTAGAAGAAAAAGCAGTAAGTTCCGATAAGTGCAAAATAAATGAGGTTGTATATTACCATGAGCGTATTCAGCTATAGGTACGTGTTTAAGACTGTTAAGATTCTAATGTGAAATGTAAAGTGAATGTAGAAACCTTAACACTGTGCTAACAGCCCACTGTAATTAAATTGTCAACCTCTATCACTTCTGCCATTTGGTATAGATTTTAAACATACAGCTCTGCAAAACACATCACAATAAATACAATACTTGCATTTATTTCCTAGTGCTTATGTCCTTAACAAAGTTTTGTCTGGAATTTTGATTTGATGCTAAAGACACTGGAGGGCTGGAATGAGCTGTTTCAGTGAATTTGGCACTACCACCATTTTATTTTTCCCACCTTGCACCAAAAATGTATATGGCATTTAGAAGAATTTTTTCCCAACAAAGCCAGATATGCTAAAATATCCACTACTGTCAACAAAGAAGAAACCTGAGTCATGCTAGGAAGGCACTTAAAAATGTGGTCATTAATTTAGTCTTTACCACCTATTTACTGTCATTTGTTTTTCTTGTCTGCTTGAAACTTCAGTACTGGCCTATATTTCCCCTAGGAATTCCCCTCCTGGCAAGTATTTTCCTATGCATCCAATTCAACACTTAAGGAATGACCTAAAGATACAGAGCACCTAGGAGTGCTCAATGTGTTAAGACTTCTCAGGTTCTCAGTAGAGTTAGCTTCTCTGCTCTGGCCTGCCCTGTGCTTTGAAAATCAGGCTGTCTTCCAGATCAGGAATTGGTTCTTCAAAACCAGATGGTTAATTTAATAAATAAATGCACAATTCCCCTTACAAAGAGGCTATCACAAACGCAAAAGTGGCATTTGTTTTAACACTTGATACCTTTGTCACTACTCTACTAAGGTAATTAAGGTTCCAGAGTACTTCCCAACACATACTCTTCAAGCACTGCAGGGGTGTTTTCAGCCTACCTGTCTAAGCCGATTTTAATTTGAATAAAAAAATAAAAAAAAATACAGACAGGAACTTTTTAATGAATTCTGCTCCCTTCTTTTTTCTTTCATGCTATCTTAACAATAAAAACAGCAATATTTTTGCTTGCTTTTGTTGCCTTCATGTTGTTAATATATTTAAAATTCTCCTCCTCATTTTAACTTATTCCAGTATGTTCTTGTGCTCACATAGTCTGTGGGTCTGCAAAGACAACATTAAGCTCCTATTTTGGAGGAAGAGTATGAGGGACCAAGCTCATTCTGTGTCTCAAACACAAGGATGATCTAACCCTTCTCGCAGGATTTTGTTAAAAACTGAGGGACTGAAGTGGCAAAAAGGAGGAATTACTCAATTCCACTTCATAGAGTCATTTTCAAGCTGAATCAGATTTGGACTGGAAACAAGAGATCCTGAGCCATGAATTAACCTCCTGAGTTGGAAGGGACCTTAAAGATCATCTAGTTCCACCCCCCATGCATCGGCAGGGACATCTTGTAGTAGATCAGGTTTTTCAGGGCCCCATCCAACCTGCCCTTGAACACTTCCAGGGATGGGGCTTCCACACCTTCCCTGGGCAGCCTGTTCCAGTGTCTCCCCATCCTCACCCTAAAGGATTTCCTCCTAATGTCTAACCTAAATCTCCCTTCTTCCAGTTCTGATCCATTACCTCTTGTCCTCTCTCCCTCTGTCTTTCCTGTAGGCCCCCTTCAAGCACTGGAAGACCACTGTAAGGTCTCCTCAGAGCCATCTCTTCTCCAGGCTGAACAACACTAACTCTCTCAGCCTGTCCTTGTAGGAGAGGTGCTCCAGTCTTTGGATCATCTGTGTGGCTCTTTGGACTTTCTCCATGAGCTCCATAATCTTCTTATGTTGGGGGCTCCAGAACTGGATACAATCCTCAAGGTGGAGTCTCATGAGAGCTGAGTAAAAGGAGAGAATCACCTCCTTTGACTTGCTGGCCACGCTTCTTTTAATGCAGCCCAGGACATAGTTGGATTTCTGGGCTGCAAGTGCACACAGCTGGCTCTTGTTGAGCTTCTTGTCCACCATCACTCCCAGGTCCTTCTCCTCAAAATTGTTTTCAATCCATTCTCCACACAGACTTTATTTGTTCTTGGGATTGCCCCAACCCAGGTGCCGGACCTTGCACTTGGCCTGGTTAAACTTCATGCGGTTTGCACAAGCCCGTGTCTCAAGCCTTTCTGACATCCCTTCCCTCCAGCGTGTTGACCTCACCACACACTTTGTTGTTTTTGGCAAACTTGCTGAGGGTGCACTCAAAGCCACTGTCCATGTCACCCACAAAGATGTGAAATAGCACCGGTCCAAGTACTGACCCTTGGGGAATACCACTCATCACAGGTTTCCATCTGGACATTGGGCCATTGATTACCATTCTCTGAGTGTGACCACCCAGCCAGTTGGATCCATCCATCGAACCTTTACTGTTGTAGTGTTGATCCCAGGATGTCATGTGGGACAGTGTCAAAGGCTTTGCACACGTCCAGGTAGTTGCTGCTCCTTTGTCCACTGACGCTGTGCCTCCATCGTAGAAGGCCACTAAATTAGTCAGGCAGGATTTTTCCCTGTTGAAGCCATGTTAGCTGTCACCAATCACCCCTTTGTTTTCCACGTGCCTTGGGAAGAGCGTTCAGGGGGATCTGCTCCATGATCTTGCCAGGCATAGAGGTGAGACTGACTGGTCTGTATTTCCCTGGGTCTTCCTTTTTTTCCCTTCCTGAAAATGGGAGTTATATTTCCCCTTTTCCAGTCAGTAGGGATTTCTCCAAACTGCAAAGACTTTTGAAACATGACGGACAGAGGCTTTGCAACTCCGTCAGCCAGTTCCTTCAGGATGGTGTGACCAGTGCCCTTGCCGGTGAAGACTGAGGCGAAGTAGTCATTGAGTACCTCAGCCTTCCCTATGTCCTGCATGGCCAGGTCTCCAGTTTCCTTCTGAAGTGGGCCTACAGCTTCCCTCATCTTCCTCTTATTGCTGTCATACATTGAGAAACCTTTCCTGTTATTCTTAACATCCCTGGCCAGATACAACTCTATCTGTGCTTTGGCCTTCCTTACCTGATCCCTTGCTTCTCTGATAGCTTGTCTGTACTGCCCCCAGGATACCCAGCCCTGCTTCCACTCTCTGTATACCTTGTTTTTACACGTAACTCTGTCCAGAAGCATCTTGCAATCAGTATGTTTGGCATTTTTTTAAGGTTCTAATAGCTTTTTTTGTTTCTTGCAAGTGAGGAAGACCTGCTTCAAATTAAATAGCACACTGTCTTAAGCCATATTATAATGCAAAGTGAACATGAAATTAATACTATGCAAAGTGAGAAAAAAGCATGGCTTTTTAATAAGATTTTTTTTCATTTTTGAATGCAGCTTGTTATCTCAGCTTCCAAAAGAATATAGAACACCAAAATACATAGTCATTTACTGCTTCTTTTTGTTAACATGCTAGAACTTTATCAGTTTCCTCTGATTTTTTGTGGTAGTGCTACTTCAAAACTTTACATTTTAAGATGATGTGTCTAGCTCCCAGCTCTATTTGATCAGACAAAACCCCAGCATTTAATTGTAACATTTACATATCACAGAAATAATATCACAATAACTGAAATTGTCTCTTTGGTCTCCTGTTATACCTGGTCATCCAGTGGTAATTCACAGAAGCCTGGAATGTATTTAGCCCATTCCACCAGGACCAAAAGTTGTTGTTTCATAGATTCACAGACATCGCTAATACTAGCAATCTTCTTAACATTTATGTCAGTGCTAGCACCAGGACTGGTGACTGAGATCTGCACATAGTGAGAGAAAAAAAACAACAACAAACACAACAAAAACAATGTTACATTTAATATAATTGCATTTTCACTGGTTAAGAGCATATTTAAGAAAAAAAACTACAGCAGTAATAATGTATACACTAGAGAAATTCCTTGACCATACAAACCATTAGTCTGCACATAAATTATAAAATTTTATTTCTCATTATTACCAGTATGTATTACAGTATGTCAAAAATTGCCCTATTCACATCATGATACAAAATCTTGGCATTCAAAAATATGATCTGAAATATGCCAGAGTCCTTATTATTTGTAAAGGGGAGGCATGGTGTGCTTTTTTTTTTTAGAAATGGTTGACACTTCATTTCAGAAGTAGAAAGAGCTCATAGGAGCATGCAGTAACATTAAGGGCAAAGAAAGAGAGAGATGAAGGGGTAACATGTTCCAGTGAAAAGATGAGTATCATTAACTTCAGAAAGCAACACAGGGGGGTTTAAGTGCTTGGAGGAGAATGGTTTGTAATCATGAAGTAGCAGTATAGGTGGAGGCCTCAGATGTTTCAGAGCAAATGTAAAGGACATGAATGTGCATTAGACCACCTGCAGTGAACAGTGTTCTGTGAAATAAGAAGAGAGTAATATATTTCTGGGCCTGAAGCTGGGGTACTTCCACACAATCCCTGAGCCAAATCCTGAAATTCTTAATGACTTTTCAAGGAAAGGAACTAAACCAGGCTTGCTCCTAAGCCAGGCAGGAAAAATTACTTGAGGTAAAACCAAGCCTCAGAAGAGAACGTCAGGTTATAGCTGCTATCATACCAGGGAAGAAAAAGAAGAAAAGGAAAACAACAGAAAAAAAAAAACCACACAAAAAAACCCAACACCACCACAAAAACCCACCACAAGCCAAACAACAACAACAACAAAAAACCCACCAAAAAAACCCACAAAACCCCTCCTCAAAAAATGCAAGATTGATGATAATAATCATAATAGAAAGAAGACAAAGATGATGCTGAAGAAGAAGAAGAAAAAAAAGAACAAGAAAAAGGAAAAGAAAAAGGAAAAGGAAAAGGAGAAGGAAAAGGAAAAGGAAAAGGAGGAAAAGAGAATCCCACAACAACAGAACCCCATCACTGTACAAGGCCTATGAAACTGACTTTCACTTTACCTTTTTATTACAGAAAGCAAACTCACAAAATTCTGTAGTTTGACTATGTTCCCCACTCCTTCCTCAAAAAAAAAGAATTGTTTGATCTTCCAATTGATCTCCCAATACTGTGTACCTTCAGATTTCAGGATGGAGGATATTAATTAGGTTGACTCCTGCCAGATCATTCCCAGATCCATGTTAAATGCCTTGGTTGGATCTGTGGTGAAACTCTATTATCCCTGGGTTGTCAAAAGGAGATGCACTTCTGAACTAAAACTCAGTGCTTCCCACTGAAAACAGCTTAGATATTAATGGCAGTTAACCAGATGAACATTCGTTTTCAGGGGAATACAACAGATAGGCAAGTGAAAAAATCCTCAGACACATAATTCAAAGGCTATCACGTAGGAAAAAAAAGGTTAGCTATTGTGTCTTTGTAGGCAGAACATTTGTGAAAGCCCTGTAATCAGGTGTCCATTTCTGGCATCTCTTCTAACAAAACAGAGCTGAAGATACTGAACACATTTAGCTGAAAGATACCAGAATTATGAAGTCTAAAAAACCTCCAGTCCAGAAAGAGAAATACTTTAAGTTTTCCACAAGTATAACAGGAGTCTTGACCATGATTCAGCAGTACCTACACAGAGAAGAGAGTTCTGATAGCAGGAGACACACTGGTCTACCAGAAAAAGATACCAGCATGTACCAACTAGAAGTTAATTCACAAAGGTAAAGAACAGGCAGATTTTTTAACCATTACAGTTACTAACTCATGAACTTAATACCCTGTCTTGTCCTTTCTTTAATGTCTTTTAATCAAAGCTATGCACTTTTATAAAATTACATCTTATAGGAAAAACTATAGACTTGGTGCTAAAATTACTTGGTGAACTTCGGAGGATTTGTGGGATGACTCCCGTGGAGTTAATTATGACCTCATAGGGCTGCATCTCTTCACAAGAATACGAAACTGTGAACTTTTCTCTGTTTCTCTGTTCATTTGACCTACCTCTCATTTCTAGGGAGTCGCTGACTTCACAGAACCACAGACCAGCCCAGGTTGGAAAGGAACTCAAAAGATCATCTCATCCAACCTTTGGTGGGAAAGGGAGCCTAGATGAGATTATCCAGCACTCTGTCCAATTACATCTAGAAAACCTCCAGTGATGGGGACTCCACCACATCCCTGGAAAGGTTGTTCCAGTTATTGAGTTTTTGCACTGTAAAAAATTTCTTTCATACGTGAAGATGAAACCTATCCCAATGCAACCTGTACCCAGGTTGTTGAATATGACAATATAACACTCTATCCCTGTTGTCCTGAGAACCATAACAGACATGTCTTTACTCCTACGAGAGTCCAACTTACACAGTCCAGGAAGCCTCTCCTGGATCTGTAGGAGAAACACTGTACATGGACTATTTCACCCTGTAACTTCAGGGACAAAATAATTAATTTTCTCTATTTTAATATGAAATTTTTTAAAGAAACTAATGCCACCTTCTTCCTCATTTCATAGCTGAATGACTTTTCAATGATTTGTGACACTATCACCTCCACCAAGTCTCTCCTCAGGACTGAACTCATCTTACAGATCCATTGACTGAGAGAAAACCAAAGAATTTTAAGACTACTTTTCCATCATGTTAATGTGACCCCTTGGTCTTTGAGGCCAAGGCTGTATCTTCACATACGCTTGGCATAGTGGGAGCAATTCTCTCCTACTACAACATACCCAATAACAAGTAGAATAAATTTGTGTGTATATACAAGATGATGTATTAGGCCAGGAATCTACCAGCTAAGAAGAACTTTGTAGCAGGAAAAGCTAAGGATGTGATTTTGTTTCAGATAGCTCTTACTCCTGAGTTGCATATACCAGCTGGAAATTATTAAGGGAGTAAAGCTAAACAAAACAAAGAGCACAATAATCAAGTTCAAAGAATTACTAAGGAGGTAAAAATAGGTATATTTTTCATACTATAGAGGTATGAAAGGTAAAAAGGTCCATTATATTCATTTAGTCTGCCCAGACATGCAATATGTGCCAAAGACTATCACCCAGCAATTCCTGCATCAATTCTTTACAGATAGTTCCACCCTAAAAGAAATGCTGATAAAGGATGAGATTACAAAACATTTGGGGATGTATAAATCAGTCAGCATGAAATCATAAAGGTGGCAGTTAAATCCTAAGTAAGTTAGTAAGAGGTGCAAGAATGCAGAATCAATGACCATGATTTATCTGAGGTGCAGAAAAGGACTGGAGACTGTTCCGATCAGCAATTGATTGCATAGGAGAAAAGAAAAAAAAAAAAAGAAAAAAAAAGGAAAATGAAGTTCAGATGAGACAAAGACAATTTAAAAGGGAGATGTGAATAGACTCTGCATTTGGAACATTTCTTTTTGCCTTATTTATAATGTCTAAGGATATTAAAAATGAGATTTTCAAAGGAATATAAGGAAATGAGTGTCCACACCTCTTTGAACGTAATGGCTTTGGACAATTTTTTCCCTAATATTTCATGGGAAATCCAGCCTCAAGGATAGATAGATGCCACCAGCTGCCTGAGACAGCAAGTGATTTAAAAGCAGTAAGAACCATAAAGCTTTATTAAGAAAGGTGTCTAGGACATATTGTCCTGGACAAAGTAGAATTTTATTTTTTTTAACTTTGCTTTAAGAATGTATTCTCTGATTCATTCTTTCATTACAAAGAGGAAGCTAGGTACATTCTGGAAGAAGAAAAACGTAATCATAATAAATATATTTAATACAATAAGAAACTGGAAAGTAATTTTAGAAAAAAATGGTTCAAAAGTCATTAAATAATTTTGTGGTAGATCTCAGTACCTGACGGGAGAGTGTCTCAGCTTGTGACAATGTGCTAATAGAGGGAATGTTGCAGCCATCAAAAGTGTTTCTTCTCGTACTTATCCTGTCCCGTTCATTTTGTACAGCTGGAAAAGAATAATAATCCCATTTATTGACTTGTAGACACTGACAGACAGTATAATTTCTGAAGTTTACTAGATAACTAGATGACTCAAAAGGGCTGAGATTTAAAAAAAAAAAAGCCTTGTGTTTTTAATAATAAAGAAGGATGACAATACATGTTTACGGTCTTTATTCGTATATTGTTTGCCTGTAAAAACTATGCATAACTCATTGTAAATAGATACTGAATTATCAGCACTTTTGTGGCTGGCTTTACTAGAGTAAAATCTCTTTCTTCCCTTGAAAAAAGGCATCAAAAAGTTTCAGGCAGGTGAGTTTTGTCTCATGGGGTCCAAAAAACGGCAGCTCAAAGTGCTTGGGATAAGGAATCCTTAATCAGCACATGCAAGGCTTATGAAGCAACACAGCTTACTTTTGAATGGAAGGAAGAAGAAAAAAAACCTATCACATACATTTTTCTAAAATCTAGATCATTTCCAAGGTTAGGCCAAGGGTAAAAAAAAATAAAAAAAATGGTGCTGATCAAAATCTTTTTATTGCACAAGGAATCTCATAATCTTTTAAGAGCAGCAGCTTTATTTCCAAAGATATGTTTGCTATTTTCTGGGAAACAATCTGCATTACAGAATTTAGAAATAGTACCAAAGGCTTCAATAAAATAAATAAAATATTCTATACACAGAATAGTTTTCAGGTTTTATCTGAACAATGCAGTATTCCAGAGGTGTACTAACTTTTTGCCAAGGACACTCACTGATGGGACTTTTATTAAGGTCACAGTAAGAAATGTAGCACAGTGATAAACACAAAGTGCTAAATGTTCATGAAGACAGGAAACAAAAAAATATAACCTGTTTTAAAAGAATGAAGAAAAAAAACATTCACTGCCTCTCAGCAGCCTAAGTGATACACAGAAAATTAAAATGAGGCCAGAGCTGACTAGAATTAGAAAAATTAGTAAGTTACTCTGACAATCACTAGGAAGTCATTGATAGAGCACTTTGAGAATCATAGGGAAATGCTTCCATTTTCTCCTGCATATGCACAATTTTGGATTATTAGACTGGATTGTCTGCCTTACTAAAGCTTTTTTGTCAGTTCAGGCTAAAAATGCCTTAAACACAGACTCCATGAGGAAGGGCGAATATCTTCTCAAAAAGGGCTTGTGTAGCTTTTACCAGCTAAAGTGTTTTTCATCTTTGCCCTGAAGAAAAGGAAGAGATTTCCTAGAAACAAACTGAGAAACTATCATATAGACTATGATATACTTATGCTACAAGACATTCCTGGATGGTACAGAGAGGTATATAGCAACACACAAGCAGTGAAATTTACAGTTCAGCATCTTGAATTATTTTAGCACTAAGAAACCTTGAATAAACATGGCTTGGACACAACGAATAATGGAAGTTTTATAGGTATTGGGAACCAGAGGAGGCATAGTGGTGTAAATTACATTAAAAGTTTTGTGCAGGATGTATCTTCACTTCATAAACATGTGTCAGCATCGTGCCTGATGGCAATGTCAGCTAGCCATGCACAGGGATGCACTAGCATCTTGAGGGAAGTGCTTATTGCTCTGTTTTGGGCTCCCCAGTACACAGAAGATGCTGGGAAACTGGGCAGTGTCCAGTGGAGGGCTATGGAGTTGTAACCCACAAGGCAAAGCAGAGACAGATGTCTTGATGTGGAAAAGAAAGCTCCAAGGTGGAGGTGGGAGTCCGATTTCTGTACTTTAGAGAAATGGAGTCAGATTCTTCTCAGATGCACAGTGAGAGGACAAGAGGCAATGAACACTATTCTAATTTCAGTGAGACATATTCCAATCAGATACAAGGAAAAAATCTTCCTTGGGTGGTCAAGCACTGGAAGAAGCTGCTGAGAGATGCTGTGGAATCTCACCTCTCAAGGACTGTATAAGCCTGGCTGGACAGGGTTCCAAGCAACCTGACTGAACCTAGAAGTTAGCCGTGCTTTAAATGGGGGCCAGGACTAGACTACTTCCATATGTTCCTTCTGAGCTAAACTATTCCTTTATTCTAGGTTTTGGAAGTCTGTGAAGCTCTGCTTTTTGTAAAACTTTTAAGGCTGCTGTGGATACACAGGCCATCCCTTTTCTTCATGTCAGATTGATAATATATATATACAGTATGTTACTGATTTTAATGGCCCAAATTCCAATGCTAAACTATTCTCACCACTCATTTTTTCACTCAACTTCACACTCCCTCCTCCATCTTAAATGCTTCAAACTTTTACATTTAAGGGAAGAATCAGTACATTATCACTGTCATTACTTAGCTAAGGTGGAAACAAAATATCAGAGAGATATTTTTTCACTCAAATTTAGTAAAAAATCAAATTAAATTCTTGCACTTTGAACTCATCCAGGCTAAGGCTCAACACCTAGAAATCAGTTCATTTGGGTACCAGGATTAATGGATTAAGCAGTTGCAAATTCACTTAAACCCATAGATTTGCTAATACTCCAAATGTTAGAACTGGTTACCTACTTGAAAATTAGATTACACATATTTCACCTCAATATAAAAGCATTTCTCCATCATGAAGGCCTTACAGCATACTTTCCATTGAATGACTCTGCTGCACTTTTTTACAATTTTTATTACATTTTAAAGGTAATATAGATTATTTCTCTTTGTATGCAAAATAATAAATGATTCTATTACCTTCTTTTTTCATTCCGGCTCGAAAACACTTTTTTAAACGACAATATCTGCATTGATTCCTTTTGTCTTTGTCAACAATACATTGCCGGTTGAATCTATCATAGAAAAGAAAAGGTAAATGTATAAAGCGTTAATAAAGCAGCAGCCAGATCATGAAGAAAAAAGCCCCACCAACTGTGGTCTGTCAGAACAAGGTCTATAGCCACGATTTTCTTCTTCTGTTATTTATTTATTAATAATAATTTTGGAGAGATGCTTCATATTTGCTTGGTTTTCAGGAATATATGTGTGTGTAGCAACACTCATTGGAATGGGAAAGTGTGGAAAATTATGGAGTTCTGTGCATCATTTACAACTCAGTTTATCTGTGAGATATGTCAGCAACTGGTTGCATCAAATTGTGGTGAAGAAAATAAAGAAGAAAAGCTACAAATAAAAAAAGGAAAGGTTAGTCAAGGAAAATACCAAATTTCACTGGCATGAAGGAGCCCTTAGTTGCCAAACCAGTACCCTTGGCTGGCAATGTTTACTCCTTCTGGGAGATACCAATGTACAAGGTACATGTTGTTATAATACAGGATGACAAACAGGAAATGGAAGGAAAATTTTCTAACATCACAATGAAGTAAAGACATAAGGAAAAACACAGAGCATGACACTGCAGGAAGGTTTACCCAAGCTCTCATGCACATCTACAGGTGTGCCCAAGGGGAATGTATATGAGCCATCCCCTCCTCTGGGAGATACCAATGTACAAGGTACATGTTGTTATCATTACAGATGACAAACAGGAAATGGAAGGAAAATTTTCTAACATCACAATGAAGTAAAGACATAAGGAAAAACACAGAGCATGACACTGCAGGAAGGTTTACCCAAGCTCTCATGCACATCTACAGGTGTGCCCAAGGGGAATGTATATGAGCCATCCCCTCCTCTCCCTGTTTGCTTTTACCTTTTTGTTGTGCATGTGTTTGTTAGATAATTAGATCTATGCTTTGCAGACATCTTCTTAAAATCACTTTTATCAGCTCTTGTCATACCACTTTAGGGATATGTCTATACTGTATCACTGTGGTATGTCTATGAAGGACAGACTTCCTTATAAGAATATTAAGCAATCAAGGAAGAATGTAGCAAACAACATTTCTAGCAACAAGAAACTTACAAAAAGTTTCCTCCTTTAGAATTTGTCTACTCACAGAGCTTTCCATATATTCTGTGCACGGCTTAAAGCTGACATTTATGGACTCGTGCATGCACAGAGCAATTTGTCAAACATGGTGCACAGAACTGAGGTGTGATAATCTGGGAAGCCAGACATCCAGAAATTAGAAGACTGTCATTGAGATTGAAGGGGGGAAATGATCACTCAAAAGGGCAGTGTGTCACCCATAGTGTGAAGATGTGCAGATGTGCAGATGCACTTGTATAGCCCTTAAAACAAGACTCATGAATATTATACTTTCTATCCAGAAACTGACTTCATAAGGAAAATAATTGAAATTAATCAGTTAAGAATTACACTTTTCACATTGCCAGTGAAAATATGAGAATTTTTCCTTTTCTTTTTTTTTCCCCAAGAGGTGACTTTTTTAATCATAAATAAAAGTGAAACAGCTCTTAAGTGATGTAATGATGTCAACGATATAAAGAGAAATATGGAATTTAGTATCTGGAATGTGTAATATAAAGCAATCCTGAACAAAAGAAATCTTTCCAATCGTATTAATATACCATGAGCCATATCCTCATCAAAAATGCTGGTTAGAATTTGATAAGAAAAACCTGAAAATACTCAGACATAATTATGAAAAGTCTGAAAATGTGTGAATGTAATTTTTGCATAGATTCATTAATTTAGTGCTTCTAGACAAACTTTTGAAATACCTGCATGTATAGACGTGGTTTTTCCGTATACTGCGTCTAAAGAATCCCTTGCATCCATCACAGCTGGACGCACCATAGTGTTTTCCAGTTGCTCGGTCTCCACATATTGCACAGAGGCTGCTGACCCCATTGTCACCAGCATTCATGTTGACAGCTTCTCCTGAACTGTCTGAAGAGAGGCAAGAACAACAGGTAGTTATGGCCAAGACTTTGAACAACCACCCCATGTACAATTTGTGCTTAAATGGAAGCTTTTTCTGACCTTTTCTCTCTTAATGGCCACTTACTCTTTACATAGCACGATGTATCTGATCACATCTGGTTCTTACTCAGATGAACACTTTCAAAGTTACAGAGATCTTAATAGAATTTATGAAGTTGGTGACAATTTTATTCTAAACTCTTCCCAACTGAAAGGGGTTTAAAATTGAAGTGTAACTCTGCATGGATAATGACTTATACGTTCTTAATAACATGAAAGATTCCTTTAGCACAAAGCAATGTTGCCTAATTATCTGGTAAAGATCTCTTATATCAGTTCTGATAGGAACTGGCAATAATTGGCAACTAAGATAAAGTGGAAAAAAAGACAAGACGGCTTTTGAACAATGTTTTAAAAAAAAATAAATCTAAGAGGACTGTCTAAGTGTTATTTCCTTGAACACACCTTGAACACATTATCCAAAGGAACACTGGTGCAGACTTTACATGCACAAAAGTGTATCAGCAATGTGCTTAACAATTAGTCACTGAATATGGTAAACAATACTGAAGAAATTAACCTGAAATCAAAACATACATATTTATTCTTCTTTGAGTCACAACATTCAACAGACATGTTCAAAGAAATAATTGCAAAATAGCTTTTTCTGTTATACTTCTTGTTTTACAAAAGGAAACGCATTTGCGACATATAACTACATTTGTGGTAGCTCACTGGGAGAGGAAAGAG